GTGACGAGGCCGGGACGCGGGGTGCCTTGGATGGGGGCTCTGTTGAGTCATGCTCGCCCGGGGCTTCGGCCCTGAGCGTCTTGACTCGACGGGCCCTCTGGGTTTTGTTCAGGGTTGGTTTGGGCAGGTCTGTTGTGCCCCCCGCTCACCCCGGACTGCGGTCTGGAGTGCCGGGAGCACGACAGTCTGCCCCCCAAGAGGCTGCGCTCGCCCCGGGCTTCGGCCTGGAGCGACCAGTCTCTGCTGCCCCCCACCCCAAAACCCCCCTCATCGCTTGCACCGGCAGGCCCTCCTGCGTCTGCAGCGGCCGCAGCGCGGCGGCGTGGACGAGGCGGGGTGACTTGGATGGGGGCCTGTTGAGTCTTGCTCGCCCGGGGCTTCGGCCCTGAGCGACTTGACTCGACGGGTCCTCTTGTGCCTTGGCTTTGGCGGTTCTGTTGCATTCCCCGGTCACCCCGGGCTGCGGTCTGGAGTGTCGGGAGTACGACAGTCTGCCCCCCACGAGGCTGCGCTCACCCCGGACTTCGGTCTGGAGTGACCAGTCTTATTCCCTTCCTACCCTAACCCGAACTCGAGCTCTGGCAGGCCGGCATGGCTCCTGGATCCGGCTGGCAAAGGCGGATCGGTTCAGAGTTCAGTCTGCCGTTAAGACAATTGCTTAGGCTGGAGTCAAAGGGTGCAGGATTTTGCCAGTTCGATATGTTCTTGCCGTGGCTTTATCCCTCAATTTTAAATCGTAGTCTAAATCCTCGAAATCACGACGCCCTCAATGCTGCTACAGTGCTGTTGCGTCTGTGCGATCCTCCTGGCTTGAACATTGCTTGTGACGTTTATCCCTGCACCCTTGACATCGCGAACTCATGATGGATTTGAGATCCATGTTGCTGCTATGTGGTGCAGGCCGGCTGCTCCCCTTCGCTCCATTGCGCCGGCGCTGCTGCTCCGTGCAGAAGGTGCCCATGTAGGTTTATTTAAGTTTGGGGTTCAGGGCTCCGGGTGCGAGGTTTGGGTTCGAGTTCAGGGGTTCAGGGTCAGTTCCAAACTCGCGATTGAGGTCCAGGGTTTAAGGGTTTTGGGTTCAGGGGCGAGGGCTATATTTCGGGTAAAACAATGGAGCCCCAAACAGCCGACACTCGTGAACCCCTTAACCCCCGCGCCCGCCCCCCGAACGCCGAAGCCCAAACCCCGAACCCCAACCCAGCAAGCTCCCAGTCGCTCCGAATCCCCCAACCCGCGACCGTGGCCCAGAGACACATGTCCATTTATTTTGTTGTCATTAAGTTAAATTACGATTACTCATTCTTGTGTCAGAAATCACCTGGCATCCAGCCTAAATTACTTTAAACTTTATAGACTCTTGAGATCATACTGCACAGTCACAGTATCAACTTTCAGAGCCCAGGAACAGGGCCACAGTTGCACCTTTCATCAGACAGAAGACCCAATGTGTCGGATTGTTCACCTTCGCTGCCATGGGCGATTCGGAGCCGACGTCACCAGCTGGGAGCCTGGAGCCAACTGAGATCTTCCCAGAGTCGGCGGAGGAGGAGTGGCTTGGGCTTATCATTTCAGTCATTGTCTAGTAATACCCCCCCCTTGCAGGAGGACGCAAGCCATGCTGCCGATGCTGAAGATGAGGGCATCGAAGATGAAGAGCTCCGGCGGGCTCTTCGTGATGCTTGATGGAATTGGCAGATTTGGGGATATGTAGTCGGCTCAATCTGTGTTGTCCTCATTGAGCAAATCAAAACGAGGCATCGCTGTATCCGGAGCCGGAGGAGGATGCGCCGGCGGCTGGGTCTGCTGGGGCGTCTTCTTCGATGGGGGGTGTTCCTCTTCTGAACATTATAACGTCCGGGGTTTTACTTTATAACGTCCGGGGTTTTACTTAATAAATAAACTCTGGACTCTGGACCCTAAACCCGACCCTGAACTCTAAACCCTCAACCCTTCAGGATGGCAGCGCCGCGAAGGGCAAGGCCAAGAAAAAGAAGAACAAGGCCAACCCCAAGGAGCGTGCGAGGCAGAAGCGCAAAGCTGAGGCGATCGAAGCCACTTGCATTAAATTAGCATTCATTTTTCTACGGGTGCACGATTGCACACCGAAAGTCTCTCAAGCATAAACCCCCCAGGCCAAGCGGGTGCTGCCTTCGAACTTCGAGACTGCTAGCCATTCGCATCTGGAGCTGCAGCGTGATCTCATCAGTGACCTCAATGTCTCTCGGCATCTCTTATATATACTTTGAATTTGTGTGGGGCTTGGGTCTTAGATACCTTACTACTGCTTAACGGAAATCCACCAGCCCAGGCCTTGCACAACACGTTGATCGAATTGCAGACCGCGTGCAAGTGGTACACTGAGAACGCTCCTGGCTGGGTGCGGAAGAAGGCGCCGTTCCCCTTCCCTCATTTTCCAAGCTCTCCGAGCGTGTGGTATTCGGCGAAGACTCAGAAGGACGCTCGCAGCATTATGTCTGGTCTCATCGCCGAGGTCCACGTGACTTAGCAGATTCAGTTAAAATTTCTTTCGAGGGTTATTTTACTTGGGTATGGGGTCGCTTGAACTTGGTATGCAACGCATGTCAGGGGGCGAGCAATCTGGCCAAGCGTGGCTACGAGTTGTGCGTGTATTACCACAAGATGTTCGTGGAGCACAACCGCCACGGGGACGAGAATCCGTTCCTTTCGTGGGTTCGTCCCCCAGCTGGCTGCGTGGCAGGTTTTGGTGTGTTTGGGAAGTTTGGTTACTTAAGTCTTTTAGGGTTTAGTTTTTTCCCTTTAGTTTTCGGTTGGGCTGATGGAGAAGCCAGCTTTTTCAATCTTGTCAACGCCCAGAACGGCCAATGGACAATGCTGATGCTGCTGCTTCGTCTGGATCTCCGGCAGCTGCAGCTGGCTCGACTGGGTCTTCGGCTGGTGGCTCTGGGTTGGCTGGAAGTACTGCTAAAGCTGCACCTGGTCCACGGCCGCGGCGGGGCTAGTTTCTCACCGGGCTCGGGGTCAGAACATCACAGCAGCACTCCATCACAGCACACAGCACATCATCACAGCACACACAGCACATCACAACAGCACAGCCAAATGCACAAAAGAGCCTGGCTACGGCTTCGGATGCATGTGCCAGTGCCGAGACGGCATCCTCGCCGCATTTTGCGCTGGAAAAGCAAGGGGACCTCAGACTGCAGCTGCAAAGTGTCACGCTTGCAGCTGGATGACAGGATTCGGCATGAGATTGTGTAATTGAACATGTCATCCCCTGCAATACCTATAATATAATGCCTTTCCACCCTTCACCT